CCCCCCCCCCCCTGAAATGTAGAGGCATACTTGTACAGGTTCCACTCCAGTGGCCTATCTAGTGTGTCCATGCTTGACTGCCATAAGGCTCAAGAGATATAGGATAAGACTCTGCGTGAGCAAAAGACACTAGCGGTCTGCACCTCTACCGTGTACGCCCTAGTCACTCTTTCAGTGGTAGCGGAGCAGTGATCCTGGAAGACCCAGGTGAGCTCCTTTCCTAGGCATAGAATTGCTTGTGGGCAAACGGCCATGGATTGGATTGACGACTGGGAAGAGCCTGATGCGGATGTGGCTTATGAGCCAGCAGCCTATGTGATCAGGCATGTGAGAAGAGAACCAGCAGCGATAGCAATGACAACACAGGTCACTACAAAGGTGCCCCCATCTCATGATGGAAAGACTTCATGGTTTTCCTATGAGGATGCCATAGACGATTGGTGTGATATCACCGAGCTGGAGGATGAGAAGAGAGGACCAGCATTGAGAAACAGACTAGAAGGAGAAGCAGCCGTACACAAACGTGTATCAGACAGAGATGCATTGAAGGCGAATGATCCACCAGGAGCTGGAGTAGAATACTTCAAACGAGTACTACGTCCATATTTTGTGAAAGGATCAACCAGTGTATTCCTGTATAGGTTTATGCAATTCGTGCGCTTCAACCGCGGATCAGCGGACATGATGAAATGGATGACAAGATTCCAGATTTTACTCCAAAGGCTTATGAGCAGTTGGATGGACATGTTAGAGCCAGTCACACAAGCACATCCTCAGGTCCTAGCTCAGATGCAGGCTGATGCAGCGTTGACTGGAGTAGCTCCAACGGCAGAAAGGATTCAGGAAATCATGCAGACCATCAATGGCAATATGAGAACTTTTCATCAGAACGATTTTCCTTTGGGAGAAAATCTGATTGCCATACTCATGCTGTCACTTGCAGATTTGTCTCAGGACCAGCGAAACACTTTGACTTCTTTGATGACTCATCGTGGCAGGGTCCTGCAGCAATACACTACAACAGAGTTGAGGACAGTGTTCATCGAGATGTTCTGCACGACAAAGACTTCAGTAGACAATCCTTCGATGCAGCCGACAGGTGCTGGAGGTAGAAGATCATTTCTCGTACTAGACGAAGGAGAACTCGATGGTACATTTGGCTATTGGGCCGAAGATGAAGAAGATGGAACAGAAGGATTCCTAGATGCCCTGGACGATGTCTTTTGGGTATATGATGAACAGAATTTCTCTTGGTTCCAGAGGAGATTCCAAGGAAGAAGAGCCAGAAAAGGCAAAGGCAAAGGAAGAAGAAAAGGAAAAGGCAAAGGAAGATCAGGCCGCAGATTCTTCAGACCTCGTGGAAAAGGAAAAGGAAAGAGACGAGGAAAAGGCCACTATGCTGATGAGCAACCGCCAACTTATCCAGATGAGTATTTTGAAGAGAATCCTTATGAGGACACTTGGGAGTCAAACCAAGTAGCATATGATGCTATTCTTGCTGAAGATATGAATGACTATCTTCAAGGAGAATATGAAGATGCCAATGACTTTTGGCAACAGCTTGAAGAAGCATGGTTTTCCCACAAAGGAAAAGGAAAAGGCAAGAGAAAAGGCAAGAAAGGAAAAGGAAAAGATAAAGGAGATGGCAAACAAGATGCAAACTATGCAAATCAACAACAGCCACGTTCTTTACCTGCACCTTCAAGAACTTCACAAGCATCAGGAAGCAACCAAGGTTTCTTTGCTCATTGTGTGACAACAGCAGCTGAAGTCCATGACAGTGAGGTGGACTTGCTGTCAGGCATGATGACCTCATGTCAAGATGAAGCTGACGGTAAGGTCAACAATGGTGAGATGATCTTCGATGACATGAGTGCCCCTGTGAGGTACTCTTTGTCAAAGGAGATGCTCACAGATGCTCCTGATGGCTTTGCGCTTATGAGCGCTGAGGAAGAAGTGAAGGAGATGCAGGCTATTTCATTTTTGACTGAGAATCGCTTCCCGCCAACTATTGCAATCCTGGACATTGGATGCACTAGAGCTATGGGATCAAGGCGTGCAGTCGATTATTTTTGTAACTATGTCGACAATCATCCAGACTGTGGACTATGGTACTCTTTTGAGTCTACCAAGAGCAAGTTTTACTTTGCAAATTCTCAGAAGGCTTCTTGCTCTCAGAAACTGGTGATTTACATGTATGATCGTGCATGGACGATCCACCATACAGAGTTCGACATAGTTGAAGAAGGAGAAGTCCCTTTGCTTATGAGCTTGCCACAGATGAGGAACTTAGGCTTTGAACTCAGGCTGACACCTCAACATGCTTACCTCACATCGGTGCCTCTTGGTATAAATTTTTTGGAGTTGAAGGTTGCAGCCAGTACTCATCTTGTTTTGGACTTCCAAGATATTGCATGGTATCTGTCTGACGTGCGTTTGCAGGCTCGGCGCGAGAAGAGTTTTTACTCTCACTTCACTCACTATGAATATGGCCATATTTCGGTTGATCACAATAGTGATGAAGATGAAGCTGAGCATGCATATCCTGTGGTTGACTACTGGGAAGTAGATCTTCACAAGAGAGAACTGACACGTCACCACAAGGATTACAGGAAGATTCTTTTCCCAGCAACTAAGTCCTGTCCTGTAGACAATGACTTGCTGGAAGACTTGCGACTGACAATCATCAAGAAGAAAGATGGAGGAGAAGAGATCAAGAAGACAGATGATTGGCGCAAGGCAAAATGGAAGGACCTACAAATTGGCTATGAATGGCGTGGTAGAACAATTTTTAAGTTCAAGCCAGATGCCAAAATTCCAGATCTAAA